TACGGATAGCTATAAAACCGGAAGTACATGTCGGAGGTCAAAGTTTCAAATGATAGCCAAGGTCAATGACCTTTGACCCTATGAAGGTCAAGGTCATCAAAAGTCAAGGTCACATAGTGTGATCGTTTAAAGCATGAAAAGATTTCAACCGGAAGTTGCAAAAAAGCAAAAGCGAAATTCAAAATTCGGCTCCCAATGTTTTTTGCGCAATTTTTGCGCAATTGATTGCGGAATACATTCACATCAAATTTGAGCATATCAACATTTACCCTGAGGCCCAATTTTGAGTTTTACAAAAGTGTGTTTTTTCAATATGGCGGCCAAAGTATCACTTCCGTTCTGGCTTTTATTTTCTTCGTTTTTTTGTATTAGCATTTACTTACGATCAGCATAAATTTCGTTGACCTATTTCAATAACACCGGAAGTTATTCGACCGGAAGTGGATTGTACTTTCAATTGATTCCCCGTTTAAAACCGGAAGTAAAGTTAAATATTTGACAACTACATATTATTTGCTTTAGTGATGTCCCTTTGCATATTAAATTTCAGATCAATCGATGCAAAAGCAAAAAAGTTGCAAAAAAATTGAAAAATTTGATCGAAAAAAGTGAGCGACGAATTTTCGAATTTCGTAATTTTTCAAGTGCTATCAGGTCAGAAATTACAGGTAGATTGTAAAAATGAAAACCCGAAGAAAATCGATGCAAAAATACGCCTTCTAGAGCCGATTTTCGACTTTTTTCACATGTTGAACTGTGGCACTTCCGGTTTTGCAAAAATGTTCCAATTTATATCTATGCACATCGTCACCTATATAGAAGGTCTATGAAATTTGAAGCGTTGCTGCAGTCTAAGCACAGTAAGGTGTGGACGAAACGAAAAAAAAAAAAAAAAAAAAAAAAAGAAGGGACATTTCGATAACAAACTGGGAAAGCAAAGTCCCACAATAAGTCATTTCAACATTGAACCTGTAAGATTCAGTTTATTAGTATTTATACATTTACACAATGAATAATTGAAGCTATAATGAATAAATTATACAACATATTATTATTTTGAAAAATGGTACTGCACCACCATAAAAATTTTTTTTTTTAAAAATTCGTATATTTCCGTTTATTTCGCATATGAAAACATCTGGTGTTTTATCAATTTAAAAAATAATGGTTTATTGTCCCATATCTATTATTATATGTACTATAAGATTATATATGAATATAATAAGATACTAGAGCGACTCGTGGCACAGAGTGGGACTTTGCAAATGTAGCAATTTGCTAAAGACCCCGAAAAAATCAACCATCGACGATAATTGGGTCAAGCGCAAGAACAAGTCTAAAGTTGAGAAATTTTTATTTTTTAGA